TTCTTTCCATTTGGTTGCATTACTGTTAATGTATTTCATAAAGATTCAAAGCATAACTTTTGGAATATGTTCTCATAAACATGCTCCCTCCCCTAACCTAAATAAGAAATTTAAGATTTATTGCACTTTTGGGAGAACTCCAGCTCCAAAGATTTTTATTGTATACAGATTTCTGTTCCCCCATCATGGATTAAGGACTTACAGTAGGAATAGCTGCCAAATGGTTTTATAGGTGTATATAAATGAAGAAAGTTTAGTAGGTGAAATTCTGCAGGGGTAACTGTGAAGGACATAAAATATAAATATTCCTTAAGAAATTTTTTTGCCATGTACATTTACTTTTAAATTCAGATTTAAATGATTCAGGAAAGGGCTGTGAAGCTAAATTTACTTTGGTGCCATGAAGATCTGTAAGCTTGCATGAAAACTACTTCTGTTTTATTTAAAATTGGAGCTTTCAGTCAGTACTTGGAAAGTCTGGCTTCTGCTCCCATTGGCTTCCTTGGGATTTGGATCCAGCCCAAAGTACTGCAGGAAGGTAAGGGGAATGATCTAGGTTTAATTGTCCATTCTGTTCAGAGTCTTGTGTTATGGGGTTAGGGTAACATTGGCACTGTGATGAATGTTCATCTGTCAAGAGTTCAAAATCTGCTGTCTGTGCATGGCAGTAATTAAATCACCTTAATTGTTTTTTCATGATTCTTTCTGAGAGAGGGAAAATTACTTGCCTTGGATTAGCATATTGCCAAAGACTGTTATAAATATTTATGGGGTGCACTCTTTCAATAGAAAGCCTGTACATTCTTCACAGGTCTCCACAGTTCTTTTTCCCGAAGACAGAAGAGTAGTTACTTGAACGCACTAATTACCATCATCTCCCCCTCTTGCAAAGCTTCAGTAGATACTGGTTTAACAGCAAAATAGGTAAGTAGTTTAGAAAGAAGCATCTCTTGCAAAATATATTTAATTACCTCTGTAAGCTGTGGAATCTTTTTGAAGGTGCATATGTTTATTAAACAGGTTTGAGAGTCCCATATTTTTTCCTTTTACAGTTGTAGAAAATAGACGGTTTTGGAAGAATTACTGGCTTCTCTGTTTTTTTTTTTTCCCCTGCTTTCACATTAAGGCCTCATGCACTATTCTTATATTCTGAAATAGTGAAAGAAGTAGGAATGTAAACACTCAGTTAAAGAGCTGCACAGCTTAGTTCTTTTTTTATAAAGGTCGTCAAGCAAAATATTCCCAAGAGTATGAAATAACTATGCCTGTGTTAAGAATGGTGGAATAAAGCAAACACTATAGCCCTGACTTGAATAATGCCAGCATTTCACTGTAGATCACGATGGAAAACTCAGGAAAACAGTCAGAGCACAGCTCTTTCATGGCTCTGTTTATGCGTACGTATGTCTGTGCTGGGGATCAGGAGAGATGCATTTATGTTGTATTACAGGAAATAAAGTTGAGGGGGTGGTGCTTCTCCATAAAATTATTCTGTCAGCTGGTGTTAGAGAGCAAAAGTTTTGCTTTTAATGCCTGGAAACTTGGAAGTTTTTTTTAAAAATAAAAACACCTTTTGAGAAAAGTGAGTACTGAGTTAAAATCCTTCTTAGCCTATTTCAACACGGTATGTAAAGCACATACTTCTCACTTGGGTTACTCTCCTGAAAATCTGTACTGCTGATGTATCTGGGCATTCTGAAGCCATGCTTTCAATTACAGAAAAAGTTCTTGAGAAATTGTAACACACAACGTAAATGCATGTCCTCTGACCAGTTACTAAGATTAATCAATGGTTATTTTTTTCCTTTCAGAAAAAAGCTTATCCTGTAAAATTAATGACAAACTTCAGTACAGGCAAACACTCAAATTTTGGTTCATACTGCTGAGGTCAATAGTTTGCTAAAGTGTCGAGATCAGGGAAAAAACCACTTTTAATATAATACAAAATCAAAATTGTTTTGCTAAGACATTGCAGCTTTAGTAAAGATATTTACTGAGCTCTGTTCTAAGGACAAAATATATACTTTTAATAATAGTGGACATTGTACATAAATCATGGGATCATTCCTTTGTGTTTTAACCATTCCTGTTGTTTACACTGCTTTGACAAAATCCAACAAAGCTTCTGACAGCGTGCCAAGAGAGATTTAATGAGTATTGCAACGTAAACGGAACTGGTGAAGCACAGAAGGTGCAGCTGTAAGAGCACAGCAGCTCCGAGGCTGGAGCACAGTGCCAGCTCTCCAGTCCACTCTCCATTGGCAGCCATGAGCACAGCCCTAGCCAAGAGCAAGAATGGGGCCAGTGGACACCAGCACAACACTAAAGTCACCCCAGACTACAACTGGGTTCGACTTCCTAAGCCAGTGTGGTTAGCAAGTATTTTTCTTCCAGAGCTTGTAGGATTTCAATGATAAAGCGTTTGTCAAGCTATGTTTTTGTACAGAACTGGGTATTTTTTGGCAAAATACCTTAAAATTGACATCAGGCAAGGAAAAATATATTTGTAGGTATCTTTCAATCATGTACAACTGATATGCACATAATTAACACTAGCTGACCATGCACTTTACATGTGCATGTTAGAAGCAAAGGAAACATACAGGCCTGTCCAAAACAGGGAACAAGCATCTAAAATGCTGTTGGGTGTGAGGAGTAAGTAATAATATCTTTGCTAGCTTTGCATTCCTGTTAACAAGCTAGATAGTGTTACAAAGACTTTTGGACTGTAGCAGCAGAGTTCTTACCTTGCTTCTAATAAGTAATGTATAAATACTGCATAAGTACAGTATAAATACTGTATGATAAGCTGATCAGTAATTTCAAGTAAGAACTAATTTGTCCTTTACTGAGAAGGTCAGCTGTCTTACCCTCTGCAGTATGGACTGGGGACAGAGGGAAATTACAGAGCACCACTACTTTCCCCCCCACCCCAGCCTGGATGGTTCTCTCTGTAGACTCTGTAGCTGAAGGTTGCTACTGCTCCTCTGAAGGTAGAAGTAAGTAAGGGAGACAGAATCTGAGTGGTAACCTTGAGAAAGAAGGTTGGAGCAGATGCTATGAACTGGGACTGCAGTAGTTTTCTATCTACCACAAAAACTTAACAACAGAGTTTTTAGGCATTAAGGGAGAAGTAATCTCCTTCATAGTTTGGAAGGAATTAGTAAGACATTTCCCATTCCCATAACTGCCTGTCTGTATGACAGCACATACCATCTAAAGCTGTATTCTTGTTGGAAACAATGCTGAAGAACTTCACTGGAAAGGTATGTTTGAAGAACTGTACATGCATTGAAAAACTCCCCTTATTTTTTTGTAAATATGGTGAAAACATAGATATAAATAGTAAAAATGTTACTGATGGAGTTGACCTTCTTTATAAATCAGGGCTATGCTATTTGTAAATATGTTTATTTTGCTTTCTAGCATACATTCTCAGATCTTGAAATGGTGTGCAGTGCTCGTTCCAGTAATTAAGTTGTTGTAGACAAGGATTTTACATGTGCTGTTTTAGCAACCAAGTTTCTAACAGTACAAAACTGGCAGCCTTTTCAAGCCTGTGTCATCCAAGAGTGTAAGATGCTGCATTTCTGTGAGCTCACTGGAAGCTTAAAGAGCAATCAACCCTTCTTCCCCTGCACTTTTGCCATTAACTTAAGCGCACTTAATTATCCAGTTGTGAATATGGAGATTTCAAATACAGAATCTAATGTATATTACCTATTAGAATAGTTAAATTCCATTTAAATAGAATGTTCACTAAAAGCAATTTACATTGCAATACTTATAGATCTAATAAGGTGAGAATAATTACTGTATTTGCTTTTTATCTGAAATTGAAAGGGGGCTACATTGGCAGTCTCGGGTACACACTATTTTATTCTGTACACTTTACTGTCCGTATGAAATCCATTACTATAGATCTCAATCTAACTGTACAAAATGGTAAAATACACTTTAAGGGGCAGTGAGGAATGGGAGTTTGTTCTAAATTAGACACTTTAATTAGACACTCTGCTTTAGTAATGTTTTCGCAGAGCATGAACAACACTGAAGAACATAAACAAAAGACAAATTTTGTGAAGCAGGAAAAATAAGGGGTAGATTTCAAAGCCACAGGACCATGGAACTAGTTTTGAGCTTCTGTTTTTCTACTTAAAAAACCCCACAACAGTTCACTGAAATAAAATGAAACTTTTTTCCTGTATGCCAGGTTTGCACTGCTTAAGTTTTCTGCAGATTTCTAATAGAAAACAAATTCAAGGACAGTAAGGAATTGAGCAGAACCAGATCAAAAATTTTGCTTGCTTTTTTATTAATCTATGGTCTTAAAAGTGTTGAGCATTCTGTGGATTTAAGAATAATCAATAAAATGCTATGCTGAGCACTTTTTCTAGACAAAGCTTGTTGCCAGTTCATGACTTATAGCACTTGAGTTACCGTTCCAGTTAGGTTCTTTTTCTTCAGCCAAAATTCATGATGTTTGTGAGAAAGGGAAATATTTCATAAAGTGATGTTGAGCTTTCTGCTAATGGCTGCACCTCAACAAATTAAAGGACTGGGTGGGGAAAAAACATTTGAAAGCTCCCAAGCCTCAGTAAGTCAAGTCTTACATTCTGCTATTCTGATCAACTAATTATGTTAAAAGTAGGACAAGACTGGTTATTAACTCTTGGAAACTAAAGAAAGAACTAGTGAATTTTTTATGTCACTTCCTGAAATGTCAAGGGATGCTCTTCAAGGAAACCACACAATGCAGCCTATGATACTTGTAAGTATCAAAGTCCAGGAGATGAAAATTCTGACCATCTCTGGTTTTAATACTTTAAATAAAATATGTACTTGCTCGTTTAGTTCAGATGCTGGATATTTTTAAGTGCAACAGGATTAATACAAACTTAGTAACTGAGTGAAGGGTTTTAAATCTTGAGGGGTTTTAAATCTAACATGTTTTTTGTGGTCAGTGAGAGACAACGTCAGCAGCAGAATAATGTAGCTGGTTGCAGGTAGTATAATGGAGTTTTATTGTCGAAATAGGGCAGGAACTATTCCATAACATAGGACACACAAGCAAACAGATTCCAAGACTACCTTACATACTATTATAAATCACAGCCATTTATCTTAGAACATATGACCCTTTAGAAAATAGAACTTTGGTTGCCAAAAACAGTCTCTCAGGCATTTGTTATGCTGATCAGACAAGCTCAGACATGCATGTGCAGTTTCTGTATGTGGCACTGTAGGATGCTGAAGATGGTCCAGTGTTGTTTCAGGATCAGAGGTTTTTCTTGGCTATGTGTTTCCTGGACGCTCAATGATCAATTTTTCTGTGGCGTACATGTGGTCAATGGTACCCTGAAATCAAACCACAATATCAGTGAACAGGTTATAATTTAGGCTCCCCAAAAAAAACCCCAAGAACTGAATAGCCCAGATATTAAGCTTTTTCATAATTACATTTTTCTTTCTATAAACATTTCTTTTTGTAAATAATACACTTGTCCAGAACTTAAGAAAAATAGCCAATACATAAAATACCTGCACATATAAAATCTTGAAATAATGAAATTGATGAATACCATTTAAAGTCTCAAAAAAACCCCCCAAACCATTAGAAGTCACAGAAGAGAAAAAGGAAGCAGGTTCTATGTTGAGAAAAATGAAAAACAAAAATATGGATATAATCAGCAGGTATTTCTTATGCCCTTTACGTGGAGAGCCTAGATATAAATGCCATGGTATGGTATTATTTTCCAGCTCCTTTGGAATCCTAATTTCATTTGCTTTACAAATGGTGAAAACAGTTCAACAGTTGTTAGTTCAGCAGTAGCATTTTACACACACTGGAGTTACCTCTTGTTCACGAGGTGGTGTTCAGACCTCCTATATTTGTTTTTCTAGTGAAATTAAATATGACAAAAATGCAACACTGATGCTCTGACTTCTCCTGTTCTTTATCACTTTCTAGTCTGCCCCATAACATTGGTAAATTGTGGTTGGATGAGCAGCTGGCAGCTGTCACACACAGCTCTTGGCTTAGCAGCTGAGTTGGGGAAGGAAGAAGTTTCATGCAAGTAGGGTAATGAAAGCAGAAGACAATGTTTTTTTTTTTTAATTATGACTTTTGGAATCTACTTTTCAATATCTGTTATGCCCTTTCTTGCCCATACTTTCTCCTTCAGGCCTGGGTACACAGTAGTTCTGTGTCCTTTTCACAAAAAAAAAGAAAGGTTCATACATTTATGTGTCGAATTAGGACAAAAAAGGCTAGATGCTGAATTACACTAAGCATGGTATATTTAGTAGAATTTAATACTGTGCAAATTAGGCCTAACAGCAAGTCAAGCTCCCAAAGCAGCAAACAATCAGGGAAAGAATGTTTTTGGCATTTTCAGTTTACCATTTTTTGTAGGAAAAATCCTGGCCTCTCTTGAATAAAAATTTCTCATCTGTGCTCACACTCACATAAAATGTGAATAATATTGCCTTTTAGGAAATGAACTATTTAATCTTGATAAACAGCCTTGTCTGAAATTTGTAACACATTGATTTTAATCTTGAAATATTTATTACAAGGGAGCATTTATGAAGCTGTTCGTAAAGGAACAGAAGTTTTCCTTGCCAACAAATATTTCCTTCTTTTGGCACTCTGAGCTAAGTTAGTAACAGCATATGAACAACTCTGATCATTTTTGAAGTTACTTATGAAATATGTTACAGACAGAATATTTAATACAAAGGCCATACACAACTGTGGCATGTGTTACCAACAGAAATTTTAAGCTGTCAACAAGTGTTACTTGTCAAGAGAACTTGCTGCTTTGGGTTATGTGGCAGGCTATACACTTTAGTTGCTGCCTTACCACAAACCATGCTGAAGTACTTAATTTTTGTATACTGTGTTTTGGAGCCCAAAGAATCTTTAATCCTTTCCCACACAGTAGAGCAAATTTAATGGGAGGCTCAGAGGGATTACAAAAATGCTGAAACCTGAATTGCATTTTTTTTTCTCTCCCCCAGCTGGGGAGATACATGAGACTGAGTACGTGACTTCTCAGTCAATCATATTCAGCTGGAGCAGATGGCTTTGTAGGAGAAAGGTACGAGCTGCTGTTTGCTGTCCCTGTGCCAACAGGTGATGTTATCTACTGCTGCACCTCTTGACTCGAATGCAATAAAAACACAGATTTATGTGTGAGCTGCTTCCTTAGCAAACCACAGGCGTGCAGGCATTTCAGCAAGTGCAGAGCCACTAGTGCTGTGCTTTCAGCCTTTGCTGGGCTGCTGCAGCTTGCCTGCTCTGCTGCCTCCCTTCCAGAACCTCTGCCATGGCACTGTAAGCTGAACTTGGAAACCCAAGGATTCTTTTTAAGTCACTAGCATTGAATTTTTAAAGTTATGATCAAGCCTTTCCCATGTGCCTTACACAAAACAAACAAACCTTCCATTTATAGCTGCTGAAAAATTCCCATCCATAAACATCCCCTGCCTCAGCAGAAGGATTGCACCAGTATTTACACACTGACACTCATTAACCCTACGAACCACAACAGCCTTCTTACAGTGTCCTCACCACCCCGAGTCTAAAGACAGCACTTCAGCAGCATGCACTCACTGTGGATCATTCTCCCAAATTAGAGACTTAAGTGGCTAGCTATTGTGTTCTTTTTTCAACACGCATGTTTGTTGCTTGTACGCCACATTCTGGTAGTTGGCTGGAAGCCAGTGCATAGGTCAGAGCCAGGGGAGTTCCACTGACCACAGGAAACTTTTTGGGAAAAAGGCTCTATTATTTGCTCAGCAACTTGGTGACCCAAAAGTTTATTTACCTCTTTAGGTAACACATTGCAATTAAATTCTCCAGGAGAGAATGTGCAATAAAGAACCACACTGTCATCAGGAGAAGAAAATAAACAGAAATATAAATGTTGCTTTGCAGCTCCTTTTGAATTATTTGGTGTTTAAATTCTGCCTGAAAAAGTATGTTCTTTGGTTCTGACAGGTCCAGCCCTCAAAACCTGACAATTTGTCTTTGTTCAAAGACTTCGTACAAGTCTATATGGTCAGATGTTTTTTGTTATCAAGAAGACTTGTTCTTGAAACCTTACTATTGCCTTCTGTCTGAATCCAGGAGAAGGCTTAGGGCTTCAGAATGGGATTTACCAGCAGATGTGAGACAACGAATGGTGAAAAAGAAATCACTGAAGAGTAAGCACGAGTTCATCTTGTAACCCAACCATTCTCTGATTATTAGGTCTTTGTGTGTACTAGCAAGTACTAGTTCTTTGGCAGGAAGCAACCACAGGAATTAGCCACTTCATGGAATCTTTCACTGCCCTTGGTGGGAAAAATCATGTAGAAAAGGTTTTCTCTATATAACAGAGCATCAAAGATATGTATGGGGAGGTGCAGTAAGAATTAAATTATAGAATTAAGAAGAATTATAGAAGCAAAATCTGAATGTCCTGCAGACACTGAAAGAACATGATATTGCCCTAAAAATTCAACAAATCCAGCCAAATTGACTGAACTCTGAACTCTGTCCTCTCCACAGGTGTCTGGCTGCCAGTGTCTGACTCTCAGGGACGCCTGTGGCTGGTGAGCAGGCTGTGTGTGGCTTCCATGCCAAACCATGTGACAGATGCAATTGCAGCAAGAGGTGCTGGCCTGGGAGGCAGCCTGAATCCTAGGGGCTAACCTGAATCCTAGGGGCTAACCTGAATCCTAGGGGCTAACCTGAATCCTGACGGCTGCCTTCCCATCTTGACACAGCTAGTGGAGTAGGTCCTGCAGACCTACTGCTACTACTTGCAAAATACTACTAAATTATAATCTCCAGTTTCTGAAGGTATGTGGTATGTCTTGTGTATTTTATCCACACTAAGATTTTACTTTGCAGCTCAGAGTTGAGGTAGAAGTGACTGCTCATATTGCTGTAGGGATGAACATAAGGTGATTGGGTTTTAAATTTTTTTTTTTGAATTTGCTTCACTCAGAGTGAATAGTTCTGCTCTGAAAAGTATGATGGCATCTTTCCTTGACAGCTCTGTATAAATGTCTATCTACTTAATTAATCACCACATTTTTCCTTCCTTAGGCTCTGCAGCACAAAGATGGCCAGACATCTCTTTTTCCCATGAACTTTACAGAATTATAATTGTGGCATATAACCCATGAGCTCTAACAAATCCTGCTGAGCCTGGATGAAGATACTTTTTCTCATTGTCACTGAATTACTCATCCTTATTATCATCCTGCCAAACTTGCCAATCTCCAAACAACTAGCTACCTGCTTGTGTGAGGTCTCACTGATAAATTTCAGGGTGAGTGCCCTAAAATTACTCAGGTAAGTAGCTAGGCAACAGCCTTTCTGCCCTCAAAAGCAAACTCACTAGGTTTTTTTTTTTTTTTTCTTTTTTTTTTTCTTTTCATGCCACTGGTTATTTTTTGATGGCAGAAAAAAACAGGAGTGGCCTAACAAGGGTGCAACACTTTCAGCTTATGTAGAATCAACTTATTGGAAAATGCAAGGCCTAAACACATAAAAGTTCCACTACAGCACAGTAATATAGAAACACTGCAAGACAGCAATTTCTCTAGGTGTCAGTTTTTAAAAAAATTGATCTCCCAAGAAGGTCATCACTGGAGAAGTAACAATGGTTTCCTGTTTTTCTTGAAGAAATGTTGCTTATAACTAAAGCTGATGTACAACAGATAGCTTTACATATTAAACACATTTACATATCTAATATGCATACAGGTTGTTATATACACATGCATATATACATGAAAAATTAAAATACCAGTCTCTAGATAATAAACATATCCATCTTCTTTCTTTTGTTACAAATTTGTAGGCAAGAAATTGTTGCCTTATTACAGCCAGGGATCACATATAAACATATACATTTTCATGGTTCTTTAGTATGGAGAAAAAGTAAAAGGTCCTGTTAATATATTTATTAAAAGGTCCTATTAATATATTTATATACACACACACACAAATATATAAAATCAGGGTTTTTTTTTCCTGTTGCACCTGGAAAGTTGACAGACGTATCTCATGGACACACTGCTGAATCTTAACTAGGAAGAAAAATCCCTGATGATGCCACAGTCCTATTGCATTTACAGCTGCTAATCTGGGCCTCTAACACTAAATGAAGAAGTTCCACATACACATTTTCTGTCATGGTGACTACAAAATGCATCTTAAGTGAATGCTGACAAGAATAGAAATGTTCAAGAATAAAGGTTATTTTAAGAGCTGTCAAGAGTCTTATAAGTTGTTTACCTAGAGTCCTATTAGATTATGCCAACTAATTTGCAATCCTATTGCCAATTTAAGTAAAGTG